ATTTTATTAACAAGTTCGATTATTGCAAGTTCAGTTGATCTGTTTTTTCTGAATCCATATTGATGGTCAGATAAAATATTATTTTTTCCAACGTAATTTATAAGTCGTTTGTACATTAATTTTTCAAGTATTTTAGCGAAACAAGTTAGAACTGATATTGGTCTATAGTTTTCAAATTTATTTTCTTCATTTGATTTAAATACTGGTGTTACCATGGAAGTTTTAATCTGTTCAGGAATAATACCTGTAGTAAATGTCAGATTAAATATATGTGCAAGTGGTTTTGATACTTCCTTACTTACTTGTTTAATCGTTCTAGCACTCAGACCATCATACCCTGGGCTTTTATTCGAGTTCAAATTGTTTATTTCACTTTGTACCTCAAATTCTGTTATCGGATCAAGAAACATGCTGTTTAGATAATTATGAGTCAGATATTTGCTAAAATTTGTTTTGGATGTATTTGTAATTTTCTTTGCTAGGTTAGGTCCAATATTGACGAAGTAGTTATTAAATTTATTTGCAATTTCAAACTGATCTTTAATAGTATTTGTTGTATTCATATCAGTAAATTCTTTTGGAAGTTCTTTTTTATTTGTTTTTCTACTTAGTATCTCATTTATTGTTTTCCACATCATTTTTGAATCATGTTTATATGTAATTAGTTCTTGTTCATAATATTTCTTTTTGGACAATCTAATTACATGATTTAATCGATTTTTATATTTTTTATACAAATTCTCATTTATTTTATTTGGATCTGATAAGTATTTACTGTATAATTTATTTTTCCTTTTGATTGACTTTAAAACACACTTTGTCATCCAGGGGCTTTTGTACTTGTTCATCTTCTTATTTACTTTCATTCTTTTAATTGGAAAATGTTTATCATAACTAGCTGTGAATAATGTGGAAAATTGGTTAAAGGACTCGTTTGGGTTATTGCAAGAAATCGTTCCTTCCCAACATACATTTTTAATTTCATCTGTAAAAATCCTAGAATTATTTTTATTATATATCCTTTTTGTATAGTATTTCTCTCCTGTGTCTTCATTAGGCCTTAGGGTATTCAAAAAAAGTTTGTGAATTATTGGTAGATGGTCTGAAATATATCACTAAAAAGAATTAATGAATTCCATTTATGCTTGAATCAATGTTGTCAATGTTATTAGTAAAAATATTGTCTATAATTGTAGCAGTATGGGATGTTATTCGAGTTGGTTTTGTTATGAGTGGGTAAAAAGAAGATGTAAAAAGTTGTTCTGTAAATTTATTGGCAAAATCACAAGATTCTGATTTAAGTAAATCAATATTAAAATCTCCCGTGAGATAACAGATCTTATTCTCTTTATCTACTTTGCTCAAAATTTCATTTATAGCATCTTGAAATACTTCGATCTTATTATTTGGTGGCCGATAAATTACTCCGACGATAATATTTTTCCCAATTTCAGTGGCTATCTCTATAAAAGTAGATTCAATGGTGTCTTCTATGTTAACATTGAGGTCTTTGCGTAATTTATGTTGTAAATTTTCAGCAACGTATATACCTACTCCACCACCCTTTTTTCCACTTCTATGCATACTAATGAAATCATAACCTTCCAAGTTAAAATTTTTATAGTTCTCATCGCCTAGCCATGTTTCTGTCAAACCAATTATCTTAAAATTTTCCTTCGTAGATTTAATAAGTTGTTTAAACATATCAAATTTGTTTGAGATGCTTCTTATATTTAAACACATGACTGAGAATTGATTTTGCTGATTTGAAGGTTGTTTTATATTAAGACTTTCCGGTATATAGTAATTACACGTTAGTCTGTTTGTGTCCAAGACATGATCTAAATTCGCATTACTATCACACAAGGCTATGTCGCTGTTGAAATTAAACGGATTAAATTTGAGCTGATTTAGTCTATCCATATGTTCCTCTGACAAGTTACTTTTGCTTGCATCTAATACATATTCCTCGTTTGAAAGGGTTTGAAATGGCAGAGTATCATTTAAACAAATTTGGCATATGTCAATATTTTTATTAGCGATTTTACGCATGAAATATCCGCATGAAAACATTTCCGGCATGCAAGGCATTCTATATGCTTTTGCTGTTTTTCGATAAGCTCAAGGCATGAGGAGCATTTATTTACGATTTGCTGTGGCATTATGACTTCGCCTTCTTCAGTTCTGGATAAAGGCTCTTTCTAATTCTCGCGATTTCTTCTGGAAATTGCTCGGTAATAGCAATTCCCGTCCCTTTAAGCTTCTTTGCATTAAGCCTCGCCTGCTCCCGATGTTGGTAGTAGTTAAATTTAGCCACTATTGGCCGCGGTTTTGTATCAGATTTTTTGCTTCCCATGCGATGAGAACGATCAATTTTAACGTTAATTGATGCGTTTTCAATACCCAAGTGCTCTTCGAGAATGTTATGAATAAGGCTTGTTGTATTTTCGCCTTCTTTCTCATTAATGTTATAAAATATTAAATTGTAGCGCATTGATCTCGCCTTGAGATCAATAACGCTATTCAGTAATTTAGTATTTGTCGCCTCTAACTCTATCAATCTTTCCTGCGTTTTCTTGTCGATTTCAACCGTACGCTCATTGGCTTTCTTGATATCTTCAATTTCATCGTGCGCAAACTCGACAGAGTGTTTAACTGATTTTAATTCGTCTTCTATCCCCTTAATTCTTTCTTCAATCATATCAAGCTTGTCTAGCTTCTTAAGCTTCTCACTCATGGCAGCCATCATTTCGTATATATCTTCCATATTTATTGTTTTTTTTGGGTTTTCCTCTTCCTTCTTCATTGGTGTGTCACTAACCCTAGGCATTTTTGACCGACTTTCTTTCACGGGCGTGTTTAAAGGTGAATTTTTTTTATTTTGCGCGGAGCGCTTTGAACCATGTTTAACGTACGCCATGACACGTGATATTTTTTGTTAAAAATTGTTAAAACTTGAGTGACATTGTCACTATAAATAAACTTAATTTATAATGAACATTCGATGGTATACATTTGTTACATTGTAAAATCACTAAAATATCGTGTTAAGTTTTGAAACGGAAGTAGGAATATTTGTCAGCCGAACTGGTGTCGCACGGAAAGCATATTTAGTCAATTGAGTACAGAAAAACAAATACAGACAACACGATTACTCGATTACATTTAAGAATATTTTGTCGAATAATATTTTGTTTATTGACATTATTACTACCTTGCTGTTTTTACATAATAGACTGTGTTTTCTTTGAGCCACTCAATGTGTTGTGGTCCTCCCGTCCTCCGCATTATAACGAAGATTAAATGGCAAATTATTTTACAGGCTAAGGCTAAAGACCTTCCTACTTACCGCACTTTTTAGATGAATTATTTAGGCCCCGTTTACACTATACCGGACTACTTTTCATACCGGATTAATTTTTACTCCGAAGTAAAAAAACAAGGGTGTTTACACTATGCCGCTTCGCTCTGTTGCCAGCTCATGTCTTTCACTGTCGCCATGGAAACAAGTAACCAATATACCAAAATGTATTAAAAACAAGAAGTAACACCCGTTTTCTTTGTAAAGTTTAACTTTGTTTAAAAAGCTTGACCACCAGACGTTGCTTCGTTTCGCTCTAATCCAAAATATGTAAAGTTTAACTTTGTTTAAAAAGCTTGACCACCAGACGTTGCTTCGTTTCGCTCTAATCCAATTTTGCTCTTTCGAAAGCGAAAAGTCAATGTTATTGTCATTTTCTTTATTTGTCTTCAGCAGAAATAGTAAATGGCTGTAAGGCGAAACAAACAACAGCTATAAAGTATTGTAAAAGCGAGCAAATAAAGGCGACAATGTTAAAATGTACACGCCAAAACCGACTTTTGTACCGAAGCGTACTGGATTAGCCTGTTTACACTGCTCCGGCACATACCGGATTACTTTTCATATCACCTCCAAAGCTCGCGTACCGGATTACTGTGGCGTAGTGTAAACAGCAGCCGAATCCGGTATGAAAATCGCTACGCTCCGATGCAATCCGGTATAGTGTAAACGGGGCCTTATACAAGACCAGCTGCTACATATTAAATATCTAACAACTGTCGTGAAATGAGCGACAGACGCTAAAACACTAATGACTTTAGAATAATCATATAGATATTGAATTACGCACTTGTCTTTGAATAACACAGACCTCTAGCACATGTCAATGTACAATTATTAGTAATCGCTAGTGATGGGCGATACTATCGAAAAAGTATCGAAATCATCGATACTTACAAAAGTATCGATACTTTCGATACTCGCGAAAAGTATCGGTAATTCGATACCACTTGAGCCTGCGATGTTTTTGGTCAGTGTTGCTGAACAATCGCTAAATACTTCATGAAGGCAACAGACTGAAGGCCCCTGAAGGCAAAAAATGTTGACATGATGCTGTTCTTTGTTAAAAACAAAAACATGTAGCTAATTAGCAATATATTTTAAGAAAACATTGGTGTTTAGATTTAAAATCATAATTGCAAATGTTATGTTCGATTATTTGGCAGGTACTCCAGTTGGAGTATTCTTTGACTTGTTTTAAACATTAATGTTCTTATGTTTGCGATGTTACTCTGAGTGCATATCC